TTTTGCGAGTGGAGTTTTGCATCGATCCTTTGAGAATTATCAGATTCAGAGGGTGCTCAGACATTATGGAGTGCTGATTTTATTCTTAATTTTTAATTGTTTATGATTTCTCAAACTACCGTAAGCCACAACTGTACCCGCCACTCGATGCGCAAACCTTGCCAATCCCTTTAACTCCCCTCCGCCTGACCTCAGGGCAATACACAACGCAAATTTATGCGAACTTTGCTCGCTCCGTCCTTTTTGCTGCACGCACGGATGAGCAGAACCAATTTTCCAAACCAAAAGACGGAAGCTTCCGCTTTGCCCTACCCTCACTCCCCTCCCCTTCTATTCCCAGGTCAATCGGGTTTGTGAGGGCCCCCTAGGCCACCAAAAGAACCAGGAACTGGAAAGAACGGGTTGCAAACCGGGGCCATGCCGGGAATAGCTGCCCGCCGTCCGCGAGAGGTCTAATTGCGGCTATTCAGGGGTCTAGAAGGGGCCAACGGCCAACACGACAATGAGTTTCTCTATGTTGCCCCTGGAGGATCACACGTACACTGCATCGACGGGGGTAAAAAATGGCCGCGGGGGAGTGGAATTAACGAATTCGCACTGGCATTTAGGGCAAAACAACAGGGGCGGAGAGAGAGTCGCAGAAAGGCAGGGACTCGAAGATCGGAATCGTTTTTTCATAGTTTTCGAAGTATTTGAAGATTTGGGAAGGCAAAAAGCCTTGCAAAATACGCCCTGGAAAGATGTCTTCCAGCTGAAGATATCGACAGCCACCTCTGACTCCAAAACATGCCTGTGTGAATCTCTGAATTTTCTCATAATAGACGAAGAGTGGACAGTAAATATAAAATTTCTGCGACGATAAAATAATTTTTATGTTTCTTTGGCGCAAATCGTAGTCCCTGCAAGAGGGCGATTTCTGTACCTGTCAATTCCTCCAGAAAATGATTTTTATTTTAATACTCTCAGTTAACGCTCTAGAGATCAAAAATGTCGTCACTCAAAAAAGCCACAAAAATTCCAGTGTTTCGGATTCAACGGACAATCCATTAACGTCGATGGATACCGTACCGCCTAAATTGCACCTGACTACGTTGAATTCGAAATTACCCCTAGCGCAGGTGCAACGTTTTCAATCCTGCGGTTCCAAGCAACACTTCTCTTTGCAGAACCCATCAACCATGGGTGACCTCGGAATTGGTTGATTCTCATGAACAAAACAATAGGTGACGATTTACACGTCTTCATCCAGTTCACCTGTACCGCTATGGACTCTGCCGATCATCCCCCATCCCATCGAAAATCCCTAGAGGACATTGTGCCAAATTGTGCTGATGTTTTCCAGCTGATGGGCCCGATCGGCCTGCACAGAGTTTAATTAAATCTGGCGAACGCACCAACTGGCCGCCGAAAATGCATAACAATTGCGCAGCAAGCGTCCCGTTTTGGAAAGGGATCGGCAACTGGCCAAAATGGAAATCTCAGATGTTTCAGTAACTGTTATAATGGTGCTAAAATATATTAAACAAAAACTAAACCAGTAATCAGTATTGAACGCCTAAAATATCGTAAAATTTAAAATCTGAAAAACTCCAAAAGGAACAAAAACAAAGACCGATCCATATTGTCAAGTCTCTATGTACCGTGCGTAATAAGTGTCTTGCGTAGGCACTTTAATGCTTGGGTATTTATTGAAAATGGAACATTATGATACAGAAATATGTTGCTCCACTTTTTGTGGTGTTGCTCACTTGCGGCCAAGAAGACCACCACCTCCAAGGATACCGCCAAGAAGACCACCACCACTTCCGCCAGATCCAGATCCAGAAGATCCTCCTCCCAATACACCACCGATAATTCCATCCAGAAGGCCAGCATTATCAGCCAACTGCAGGTTAGAGAGAAGAGCACCATCTTGACCGGCAAGGATGGCCTGCAATGGGAAATAATAGAATGATATTCATTAATGGCAAAATACCTTGAGGAGATTGGAACCGAGAAGCTGCTCAAGGAGACTGTCGATCACTCCGGGAGCTCCAGATGGACCTCCAATCAGACCATCAAGAAGAGGATTTCCATTGGCACCAAGGAGATGACCAAGAAGACCACCGTTACCCTCCAACCAGCTGGGAAGACTAAAAGAAACAAGGTATATAGTTCTGAACAGCTCCAAATTACGTCGGCAACAGGTTGAAGATGTCGCACACCAGTTTGCTGACAGTGTCAAGAAGTCCGGATGGAACTTCGGACATTACTGGCGAGATGACGTGGAGAATGTTGAGGCACAAGTTGGTGAACAGGAAGTTTTTGCCCGAGACGATACCTGGGAAACATTATTATAATACTAGGAATGTATGGCATACCTGAGAGCAGATATTGAACATCAGATTCGAGGACAAGTCCACATGGACTGTTGGGAACGATGAGGAGGATGGGATATTGACGGTACCCTTCAGGATATCAAGATGTTCGAGAGTGTATGCAGAGACTGTCTCGTTGCCAACTTGCATTTGGGTCTTGTTCAGAATGCGGACTTCCGAGACTTGAAATGAGGGCGATCTTATTGTTAGAACTTCGACTTACTCCAATCCAAGGCACAAGCCAGCGCCTTGACATCAGGAACGGGAGAAGGACAGGTACAGTCCGAGAGTTGAGATGAAGCTCCTCCACCAGTTTCTCCAGATGATCCACCGGATAGAGCATCTTGCTGACCAAAAGCTGCAGAAGAGAAGAGCAGCGCCACAGCCACCATCAAGCGTTGGGAAGCCATCTTTTTTCTGGAAGAATTGGATAACTGTATTTTGATACTGTAGAAAGTAGTAGAAGGGAAAGGCTGATGCTCTACCGTCCAAATCCGATGCCTTTTATACCAGATTCACTGACCACTATAACACCGACGTGACGGATGTTTGTCATAGCTTTAATTGTGTCGAATCGAACCGTTCCGAGCAAAATTTGGATGTTTTCGCGTTGTCTGAACGTCAATTCAAAGGCCACAATAGGGGACGTGTGTTCATTTGGAGTCAATATTACTCTTTTTATAACTCAAGTTTGTTGGCAACTGATTTTTGTTGCTTTTTAAGATTGCGGATCAAAATATAACCATAAAAGAACCAGCTCGGTTGGTAGAACAGCGTAGCATCGGTATAACAAAGCTGAAAGAAAGCGCAATGCCAAATTGACTACGAAAATCAGTTGCGGCGTGTTATCCTTCAGACAACGCGAAACATCAAAATATTGCTCGGAACGTTTCGATTCGACACAATTAAAGCTATGACAAACATCGGTCACGTCGGGGTTATATTGGTCAGTGAATTTGGTATAAAAGGCATCGGATTTGAACGGTAGAGCATCAGCCTTTCCCTTCTACTACTTTCTACAGTATCAAAACCCAGTTATCCAATTCTTCCAGAAAAAAAGATGGCTTCCCAACGTTTGATGGTGGCTGTGGCGCTGCTCTTCTCTTCTGCAGCTTTTGGTCAGCAAGATGCCCTATCCGGTGGATCATCTGGAGAAACTGGTGGAGGAGCTTCATCTCAACTCTCGGACTGTACCTGTCCTTCTCCCGTTCCTGATGTCAAGGCGCTGGCTTGTGCCTTGGATTGGAGTAAGTTTAAGTTATAACATGAAGATCGCCCTCATTTCCAGTCTCGGAAGTGCGCATCTTGAACAAAACCCAAATGCAAGTTGGCAACGAGACAGTCTCTGCATACACCCTCGAACATCTTGATATTCTGAAGGGTACCGTCAATATCCCATCCCTCCTCATCGTCCCCAACAGTCCATGTGGACTTGTCCTCGAATCTGATGTTCAATATCTGCTCTCAGGTATGCTATACATTCCTAGTATTATAATAATGTTTCCCAGGTATCGTCTCGGGCCAAAACTTCCTGTTCACCAACTTGTGCCTCAACATTCTCCACGTCATCTCGCCAGTAATGTCCGAAGTTCCATCCGGACTTCTTGACACTGTCAGCAATCTGGTGTGCGACATCTTCAACCTGTTGCCGACGTAATTTGGAGCTGTTCAGAACTAGATACCTTGTTTCTTTTAGTCTTCCCAGCTGGTTGGAGGGTAACGGTGGTCTTCTTGGTCATCTCCTTGGTGCCAATGGGAATCCTCTTCTTGATGGTCTGATTGGCGGTCCATCTGGAGCTCCCGGAGTGATCGACAGTCTCCTTGAGCAGCTTCTCGGTTCCAATCTCCTCAAGGTATTTTTCCATTAATGAATATCATTTTATTATTTCCCATTTCAGGCCATCCTTGCCGGTCAAGATGGTGCTCTTCTCTCTAACCTGCAGTTGGCTGATAATGCTGGCCTTCTGGATGGAATTATCGGTGGTGTATTGGGAGGAGGATCTTCTGGATCTGGATCTGGCGGAAGTGGTGGTGGTCTTCTTGGCGGTATCCTTGGAGGTGGTGGTCTTCTTGGCCGCAAGTGAGCAACACCACAAAAAGTGGAGCAACATATTTCTGTATCATAATGTTCCATTTTCAATAAATACCCAAGCATTAAAGTGCCTACGCAAGACACTTGTTAAGCACGAGACATCCACATTGGAGACTAACAATTGAACTGTAAGAATCAGGGGAAATTTGGTTTTGAAATTTTGAAAAAATTTTCAAATTTTATGTGTGCAGCGCTCTATTTGCCCTACCTTTCCCGAGGTGTGGGGGCATCCTAACGGGTGCTGCAATATACCACACCAACACTATTTTTTTATATTGTAGGATAGTTTATTTTGATGCTTAGTTTTGGCTGAAAGCTTAAGCTTTCTCCTCGCTCTCTATCCGGTCTTGTTATTCGGCAAAGATGTACCGCAGTTGTCCCCTATCTGTCTTTCGCGCTATCGACTACATCCAACAGCTGTGTACCATTCAAAAAACATTACGATTTTCATGGCGTCATTGTTTATTTCGGCGCTGCCATTTCGATTTCAACCCGTTTTCCGATACGAAATGCCTCCTGACAAATAGTTTACACGTTTAAAACTTCAGACAATGATGGAAAATGATGCAGTTGGTATCGACTTTGGTAGTTTCCGCACGAAAATTGGCATTTTTCGAGCCGGAAAATATGAAGTAATTCTGGATGAGCAAGGTAGGCGAAAAAAGGATATTTGCAAGTGTATTCAGGGCATCCCTGGGATTCTTATGTAACATTTGAGCCGACTGAAAACTTTTTCGGGCGTGAAGCTTTAAAACGGCAGGGCGATAGTCTAGCTTCAACGATTTATGGTGAGTCAAGAACTTTCAAATCAATAGTTTTCGTAATTTAGCATGGAAGAATCTGATCGGCTGTTCGAGTGAGGATTTGGCAGCGGTTTTGGAGTTGTCAACAAAGTTATTCAATGTATGTTTGACAGAAAGCCACCTAAGCCTGGCAAAGAGTTTTTAGGAAATTGCAGTACATATATAAGGTCATATTGTCCTCATTAATGAAACATTTCAGAAAACGCCGTCGTCAGTTTCGACGATCGAAATTGCGTGTGGTGGTTATTCATTTTCTCCAGATGAAATCACATCAATGTTCTTTGCTCCTATCAAGGTAAAAACAAAATAGTGTTTAGCCACCTATTATATTACAGGAACGGATAGACCACCTCTACCCGCCAGCCAATTGCTCCAAAAATGATGAGGCTCAGATTTCGAAGACACGCAGAAAGTGTGTCATCACGGCACCAGCGTTTTTGACGGACGCGAAGCGACAGGTTACCTTAAAAACCTAAAACCCTTAAATATCTCATTTCCAGGTGTTGAAGCGGTGCCTTGAAGACGCTGGCTTTGAGGTTTTACATATTCTCGATGAGCCGACAGCTGCTGCGATTTCTTACGGCTTTTCAAACTCTTCTACTTCCAACTCTAGAACTCCGAAAAACATCCTCACCCTCGACCTGGGTGCAACAAATTTTAATGTCGGGATTTTCACCCTAAATGGGACCCGAGTAATTACCAAGGCGATACGTGGACTCCAGCGTGCCGGCGGAGAGGTAATTTTTCTATTTTGATTCAGCAATCGTTTTATGGGCATTTTCATTACCCATTGAAAACGAACTCATCACGAGAATCTGGGTGATGAATGAAGGAGAGAAGCTGAATATTGAAGAGGAGTGGCTCGTGAAGAAAGCGGCTTTGCAAGCTCTCGAGGAACGGCTAAGCGGGACTGAAGTGAGTGTGTTATTTGAATAGAAAGACTGCAGAAACCCCCTTGACGCATTTTCCAGTCAAGCGTGGCGTTGGGCGTTGATAAGGGCCTATTACATGGAAAAGGAAAAATGTGCGGTCATGAGAGAGGGAGAGAGAGAGAAAGAGAGAGAGAGAGAGAGAGAGAGAGAGAGAGTATTTTAGATGACCATCCCTCCTTTGATGTCCCTGTCCATTAACTGTTTCCCTGCCTATCGGGTAAATTAACATATGAAATCTGGGTCAGCAGTTGAGGCCAACAGAAAGAACTGCACAATTACCCTTTCTTAAATAACTGTTGTAAACTACGAATATTTTTCAGTGCACCATCAAATACCCGAAAGCCCAAATCGCCTACAAGCTGAACCGTAGCCAAATGGAAAACTGGTGGGAGATATTTTTGGCAAGACTGGAGGACGCAATTAGAGAGGTATGATTCAACTCGAGTAAATCGTATTCATACTATTTGTAGACGTTAAAAGACTCTGGGCTCTCTGCTGAAAGCGTAGAAGAAATTCTGCTGACCGGTCATTTCTCCAAAATCATCAATAGCTTCGAGATTTCCGAGAGAATCTTCGGACGTAAGGGTTCGATGGTTTCAGAAAATAATGCTGTTGCTCAGGGCGCTAGTATATTCGTAAGTGTTTTAGTTTGATAAAACAAATAGCTTTTGCCAGGCTGCCCATCTTCATTCTGCCGAAAACCCGAAAAGCTACGGGAGAGTCCACGAAAATCCGTACGTACGGGAATTAGAAGTTGACCCAGCTAGGGAACGTATGTTCTTGGTTATACTAGCCCTCAATAAATTTTTAAGTCGACCTTATCGATTGGAGGTAAAACCGCTTGTTTGTTTATTGTACCGGCTTGTCGTATTAGCTTTCCCATTAGCTAACACGACCATTCAAACGAAAACATTGCTTTCAGCACCTGAAGTTACACGCCCAAACTCAAGCCTCACCTTTCCAACCGATCCACTCATCCAGGCGGAAACCCGATTTTAAAGCATTATTTTCCTATATCTACGGCATTTGTCGGTGGTGTTTCAGGGCATGAGTCGACTCGATTGTGTGTGTGAATCAATTCCAAGCCGCATAAAATTTTGCTAGCGTTTATCTGAATAAATTTTATTCGTTTTATTCTTACGGAATATTTCTTGGGCCAAGCTGTTTTTCTGTGGGCGGGAAAGAATGTTTGGGGGTGATAACGCAGCCGAGAATCGCGGCAAGCGAGGCTTCATTGAGTCAGGCACTCTAGCCGTCTATTCCCCGCCGAATCACGAACAATCCTCCTGATAATACCAATTTCGGCTTTGCGCTTCGCCATTCGAATTTTTTTGGCCTGTATTGAAATAATCATCGCCAAATAATGTCCGATGAAGACTTCAAATGGTCGCACGATGAAGCTAGGACTATCGGGCCTGCGCTTAGGGACCATTCTGGCGTGCTGACACTGGAACTTGGGAATGAGATCACGAAAATAAATGCATGGAAGCTAGAGAGCATGGGTTTGACTCGTCTAGGACAGGGTATGTTTGCATTAAAGGAAATAAACTATTGAAAAGTCCATTAATATACGCTCAGAAAACGTCAAAGGAGAAGAGTACCCACTCCACTAGCTTTCTTTTCTTATTAGCGATCACAAAAGTAGTCAACTGTTTGTGGGCCTCCTCATAATTCTGAGGCGACATTGCCGTCTCATCCAAAAGCGGCGACGACCTTGGCTTATTTCCAATTTTAGAACTCTATATACCCACCTACCTAAGCTTCGACAAAGAGAAAGGAATCCTTTTTGGGACGGATGCCAAGGCGGCCCAGACGCAAAATCCGGATCATACGGTGCATGGTAACAGTCTTTTACATCAAAATCAAATCAGATTCAGGTTTTATAAATTTGATCGGCCTGGAACGAACCGACGTGCAGGCCATTGTCACAATGCAAAATAGGTTGTATAACACGAAGAAGAGGGACGGGCCTTATTTCAAAACCGTCACAGATAACACGGCTTTGTACAAAAGTCTGCCAAGGAAGGACAGGCGCGTCCGGAAATGGATCCGGAGATTGCAAAAACCAGATGAAAGCGATTCGGATTCATGGAACATAGCCATCTCACTACCAAGCTTTTCACTTAATACCACAGACGAAGATGACCCCGAATGTGTCCCACGTATTCGGGATCCAGAAAATTGTAGCGATCCAAAGGACGAAAACAAAGCGAGCCAAAAGTTTGCCCTCAACACTTTCGCCAGCCAAATAAAATTATGGAACGGAAAAATGAGGAAAAAATACTCTAAACGTCGCCATAGACGCCCAGACCACCGTGCCAAAAAGCGCAATCGCCAGGCATCAAATGGCAGAGTTGAGGCAGAGCTGAGACTAGAAGAGACAGACGATTTGATGAAAACTCCCAGTGAAATTAGTGTCGACGACGAAGACGTGACGAAGAGGCAGCCCGGCAAAAAGGAATTGCGACACTTTTGTTCGCTGGTACCTCTCGAAGGTAAGTGTCTTGACTTATGTCAGTGCTTTTCTTTGGCCGGCTTGCGCGAATGCATGCAATTACCACTATGTAACTATGTAATACCAGCGGGGGAAGAGCCGCTTCGCGACTCTCCCCCGCTGGACCCCGTCTAGGCCCTATGAATTGAGCGCCCTTCCACATAAAGTTACCCTGAAGAAAGAAAAACGCATCTCCCATGAAAACCTCTTTGTATTGGCATGCTGCGTAAACTTGCACCGCTAGTCTCGTTATTAGGACTGCGGCGCATGTTTGATCGGCTCGGACATCCTGCGGCCCAAGCTTGAGGGATTACCTTCCTTTTTTGGCCTGCGGCGCCAGCTTGAGCGGCTTGCTTCGATATAAAGCCTGCGGCGCAAGTTTGAGTGGTTACCTCCTTCCTTAAGCCTGCGGCGCTAGCTTCAATGGTTGGCTTTATCCCTTAGCCTGCGGCGTTAGCTTGAGCGGCTAGCTTGGTTCTAAAGCCTGCGGCGCTAGCTTGTTGCGGCTAGCTTCGTTCTAAAGCCTGCGGCGCTAGCTTGACCCTCCTCATCCCGCGGCGCAATTTTGAAGGGCTAGCTCTGACCTTGGGCCCGCGGCGCTAGCTTCCCCCGGCTAACTTCCTTCCGAAGCCTGCGGCGCTAGTTTCAGCGGCTAGCTTCGTTCAAAAGTCTGTCGCGCTAGCTTGAGCAGTAAGCTTGATTCCTTGGCCTGCGGCGCTAGCTTGAGCGGGTAGCTTCATTCTATAGGCTGCGGCTTGAGTGACGAACTTCATAATAACGCCCCTACACGGAAATCCACTCCGAAATGCACTTTCCGAGCAAAAAGCAAAACAACTACAACATCCGAGGATCGAACCCCCGATGGTTAGATTAGGCCGGTGAAGCGCTAACCACTACACCATGCGATGCTTGGCAGCACGCGCCAAACACCCCTTTATGGATCAAGGGGATTACCCGGGGCAGGGGAAGGCAAGGCATCGAGAGGCAGATCCAAAGAGGCGACCGGCTAAAGTCTAGTTTACCCCCCCGCCCAGCCGTAACTTTTCAACCATGCGTCCTATTAATGCGCCGAGTATCTCAAAATGTTCGCCGTGGTCGAATTACTATAGCCATGTTGTTTCCTTACATCAAAAATTGTTAGAAAAAGTTTTATAACAATTATAAGTCTGGGTTTTCTTTAGTTAATTTTTGCTGTTCCGAAGTGAGTTTTCGTATCTCGGTATCTTTTGACGTACAGAGCTGTCAATGGTACCAAAATGTAGCTCTTGCTCTGGAGAATCAGCCTACAATGCATTTGAGTCGAAAAATATAGCGGAAAATAAAAATATTTGAGTTTTAGGCTTCTGATACATCGAAGCATGACGGCTTAATCTTTTCAACTTTCAAAATCTTGTAAAAAATTTTCTAACAATTTTTGGGAAAATTGCGTTATATGGTCACTAAACGGATCTTGGATTTTTATATACCAAAATGCTCAGCAGTTCGAGCTGGTTCAGGATCAGTTGAAAAAACTATTGGGAAACACTTCTGGAGCGAGTTATAACACTTCAAAGTTGGCGAGTGTCGTATATGGTCACTAAACGGATTTTCGATTTTTATATGTCAAAACCCTCAGCAGGTCGAGCTGATTCTAGAACAGTTGAAAAAACTATTGGGAAAAATCTCTGTCGCGAGATATTTAGCTTACAAACCGTCCATTCAGCCCCTGAAGTAGTACGTAGTACACCAAAATACGCCAACTGTACATCGGAAAGAAACGGAATGGTGGAGAATTGCCGTTTCAAGGGTAAAAAAATACATTGTCAGGCAAGGTGGGCCGTCGCTTCGGATGGGCTGCCGCTCCACTCTTTCCAAATCGGGGCGCCTGGGCGCTTCGCGCTCCTCGGGCGCCCCGATTTCGAAACCCTGTACGAGCTCGCACCCATCCGAAGCGACTAGGCCCCGGGTGGCACGAAGCCTTATTTTGAGGCTCAGATCGAGTGTGTAATGTCAAGCCAAACGCTTATCGCACACTTATCCATCTTCCCCCTAAAACGGAATTTCCGGGGCAAAAACATGGTATATAGGCGGCTGTTTGAAGCCGAACTTCGAAGTGGTATATCTCATAAGTGGTATATTATTCAACGTACTCCCATGAGTCAGGCAAGGTGGGCCGTCGCTTCGGATGGGCTGCCGCTCCACTCTTTCGAAATGGGGGCGCCCCCGGCCGCTTCGCCGGCCTTGGCGCCCGGATTTCGAAACCCTGTACGAGCTCGCACCCATCCGAAGCGACTAGGCCCCCGGTGGCACGAAGCCTTATTTTTAGGCTCAGATCGGGTGTGTAGTTTCATGCCAAACCCATTTCGAACCCAACCATTTTCGCAACACCGAAAACTGACTCGCCGGGGCGACAATGTTATGTAGTGGGCCGGGGTGACGCCAAACTTTGTAGTAGTATATCTCGCTCCAGAAGTATTTCCCAAAGGTTTTTTCAACTGTTCTAGAATCAGCTCGGCCCGCTGAGCATTTTGACATATAAAAATCGAAAATCCGTTTAGTGACCATATACGACACTCGCCAACTTTGAAGTGTTATAACTCGCTCCAGAAGTGTTTCCCAATAGTTTTTTCAACTGATCCTGAACCAGCTCGAACTGCTGAGCATTTTGGTATATAAAAATCCAAGATCCGTTTAGTGACCATATAACGCAATTTAGCCCAATTTTTGCTGTAAGAAAACAACTTGGCTATAGTAATTCGACCACGGCGAACATTTTGAGATACTCCGCATTAATAGGACGTATGGCTGAAAAGTTAGGGCTGGGGGGGGACGGGTAAACTAGACTCTTACCAGGCGACCAAACTCGCGAGTGCAACTGGCAAGAATGAGGAAGTTTGTATTTTCTCAGATTACGCAAATTAGGCTTCCCGGACCCCTAAAAATCAATAAAACCGGTTTTAACTTTGTAAACTTGTATTTTATCGGGATTCTGAAAACGCCATCGGAAAGAGGAGGGTCGATTCCCCCGCGTGACGGAGAATTAGGACATTTTGGACACGGGAAGGGCCTCAAATCCGGCCTCGAAACTGACCTCCACACACACACACACACAGACAAAGATACGCGACCAAATTATATAAGGTAGGATGTAATTTACCGGATCATGCAATCACGAACCCTAATGCCATAAACATCCAAATTTCCTGGTCCCACAACCATGGGTACTTTTCAAATAGGCGGGGGGAAACATTTAGGCGGGGGGGGGGACCAAGTTTTTTTGTCGGCCCTGGTGGGGGTAGTAATCAAATATAAAGTGTTTTCACATGGTGTTTAGCACAATTTAAGCCTATTTGAATCGGAAAAACTTTTTAAAAAGTTAGATAAACGCTTGAAAAAGTCGAAGATTTGGTCATTTTTGGGCCGAATAAATTGATTTTTCGACCTAAAATTAAGTTTCGTAAAGTTTTTATGTTTAGGAATAGCTATAAACAATTTAAAAACACTTCCACTATTTATATAAAAAATATAGCCTTGGGTGGAAAAAAGTTCGGTTTCTCCCCCCCGCCTATTTGAATTGTACGGTACAATTTGTACCCAACCTTGTATTGCAGCTTCGCTCGCTGGGACTACCAAGCAAAAGATGGAAAGGTGAAAAATTTTTCTGGCGAAGTGGAAGGCGACATGATAGAGCTGAAGGCCAGGAGCAATGAGAAATTTGGTCCAGCGAGTAAGGATGGTGGTGGCACCTTTATACACTCAGTACAATAACTATAAAGGCAGTGGTTTTTGTCGAATATCTCGGCGGTTTTGCACTTCTCGTGATGCAATTTTCAGAATAGCCTTCTGAAGAGTCACTTGATATCCTGTACAAATTCGAATCAAATCCGTTCGTGGAAAGTCCGATTTTTGGCAAATGACGTTTTCGAAATTGTAAAAAAACTATGAAGGCAGTCGAAAGAAATTCATTAAAAAAATTCCCATAGTATGTCAAGTTTCGCCACCCATGTTTTTCAAAAGCCGATATAAAGCAACCCTTTAAGAGCATTACATAATATTCTGTAAGCAACAAAAAATATTACCTACTTTTGTAAAAAAAAATATCGTCCGCCGCTTTTCGATGGCTTCCCAAAATTAAGCCTCGAGCTCGACTCCTTCACAATTTCTATTACTGGAATGTCCACGCTGGGCTCCCGGGCGCCCCAGTGCCAATTGGCTTCCAACGGCAAAAGCGCCCCAGGATATTTCCCTTGACAAAGGAACTTAATTTTAACAGAACCTTAAAAGAAGGAAGTCATTGGCTGGCCTGGTCATGGGCGGGTCGGAATCAGAAAATGGGCTACCTCTTAATGCTAGAAAACAATTTTTAATAGAAAACCCCTTTGCATTCTTTAAAATTCAAAAAAAATAATCACTGGGAATTTGTGAACGAATTTCTTTAGACTGCTGTTATAGTTTTTTTACAATTTCGAAAACGTCATTTGCCAAAAATCGGACTTTCCACGAACGGATTTTATTCGGATTTGTGCAGGATATCAAGTGACTCTTCAGAAGGCTATTCTGAAAATTGCATCACGAGAAGTGCAAAACCGCCGAGATATTCGACAAAAACCACTGCCTTTATAGTTATTTTACTGAGTGTATAGGGTGGCCCGAAAGTACGTTGACCGAGACTTTTCGAATTTTCTAAAAAACTAGATGTACAGGCAGGTTCATATTGACATATTTCATTGCTTACCAGGGCTCTTGGCTAGTTTCCATCCAAATTTGAGCACCCTCAGTCAAGTCTCCGCTGAGTTATGGGGCAAACACGACGCCAAGTACCTGCGTGCCGGCATCTCGTTTTCCTCAATTTTCTCTCACAGTTTTTCCGAATTCAAGTCAGACAATAGTAAAAGTGATAATACCATGTTGAGGGTAATTGTATAAGCAATAAAATACGTGCATATGAACCTGCCTGTGCATCTAGCTTTTTTAGAAAATTCGAAAAGTCTCGGTCAACGCACTTTCGGGCCACCCTGTGGTTGCATGCTGTAGCTAAATGTATAGAGTCAGTGACTGTTCCGTTAATCAGCGCTGGTTACATATCCTATAAGTGTACCGGCATCTTCACCAACACACCGTATTTCCTCTAATACACCCCCCCCCCCCACCGGGTGATCGAAAAATTGAGCCCCCCTCTAATATAACCCCCCCCCCCGAGCATTTTTCTCAAAAATGCGCTCAGGGGCCAAGGATGAAAAAGGAAAATGGCAAAGAAGATGAAGTTTATGCATGGCACTGCGCTTTTTAGTGATTTTAAGCCTTCTATAGCGAAAAAATTTGTGTTTTTGGTCGACTTCGCCGTGTGCGAAGCCCAAAGTGGGCGATCGGTGGGCGCAAGTTGGGGGTGGGGTGAGCTAAAGGGTGGGCCAATGTAGTAGTAAATGCATATCCCGTGCATTTTCTAACTAGCGGACGGTCTGCCTCAACATCTTTATTAGGAGCACGTGATGGGTTTCGTGATCCGTCGTAAGAGTAATTTGCATAAACATGAGCGCGGGCGCACCGGCGGAATGCGTTGCGGCGGCAGCTCCATATAGTAAACTGTCATTGGGACACGGCTTTACGGGTCAGCCATGGGTGCTCGGGCTAGAGGAATAGTAAGGCTTTCAGGGCACGTAAATGTTCGTGGGTGGGGGTGGGCCCACCCCTACCCCCACCCTACCCCCCAAATGTCGCGAACCGATCGACCGCTTTGGTGGCCCACCCCGGTGGGCGGCGAAGTATAGTTTTTGATTAAAATTGGACCAATTTGCCCCCCATTTTCGAGATTTCAGTCGACCAAAAAAAATATAACCCCCCTCTATCATAGCCCCCGCCCCCTCTAATACAGGGTGGCCCGAAAGAGTGGTGACCGGAGCTCGCACACACAATTTCTCGGTTCCCTTATAGGTACGGGCAAGGTGGGCTATCGGTTCTCCCTCTTATGGATTTTCGCTAAATTTGAGCAGGCACGTAGCGCACTACTCAGTCCAGCTTTTTGCCTAGGAATTTGAGTGCATAACCAGGGTTGAAAAGCCGCTTCGCATCTTTTCAATCCTGGCCCCGTTTTAGACCAATGAAAGTTTATACTTTGCATAATTCAACCCAACCCACGCCGAAAAAAGTGAAAAATGCGCTTTTGATCCTTTATATAGGATACCCCACTTCCGGTGTATGCTAATTGTTTCCTAACAAAGAGGGCTTGCGAAAATTTACAAACGCCTAAATTTAACGTTGAAAATAGCTTATTTTCTAAAATCTAATATGTGTGCAGTCATCTCCAGTCCATTACTCACCTAATGACGTATCATACATACCTTAGGACTGCTCCGTCATCGAGATAACCTCCGGACACCCTGACGGAAGTTGCCTGCAAAGTGGCACACACCCACACAAACACACAGACACTATTTTTTATATATATATAGTAGGACAAGGTCTCGCATTTTTTGAAATCGCTAAAATCTAAAGGAAATTCCTGTTGATGAAAATACTTATACCTTGCCTATCTCTTTAAGGAGCGTGCTTGACTTTTCCAGTAAAGCACGGGCTGCTGCTCGCAACTCTCTCTCTCTACTCAACACTCTCAAACATGGTCAAGTGACTTGGACCCGTTATTAAGGGTTCTGACCAAAAAGTTTTTAGCCCGCCAAAAGACCCATCCTGCAGCCCCATCCTGAACCCGCAGAATTTCTTTGTGTCGTTGGCCTGAAAGGCCAAAGTCTTGGCTACTTCCCATCCAAATTTGAATCCGCTCAAGAAAGTCTTCGCGGAGTTATGAGAGAAATTCGGATTGTGTCTCTACGTGCCAGCACCCCCGTTTTCCAACAGGGTTTCCGCCAGTGTTTTTTGCCAGTTTGAGGCGGGGAGATAAAAAAGACTTTACCTATGGAAGATAATGGTTTAAGGAATATAACTTGTTGATATGAGATTGTCTGCATTTATAGTTTTTCAGAGAAAAATTTCGGTCACCACTCTTTCGGGCCACCCTGTAGAACCCCCTCCCCTCGAGCGATTGAAAAAGTATAACCCCCGGGGTTATATTAGAGGAATTACGTCCCGGCCATTTTTGGTACAGGTTATAGCAATTGTCATCAACCTAAAATAAACGTGTTGGCAAAAAAATTAGCTTATTTTGTCACGTAGGGTTCGAGACAATCGTTTCATGTTTGCAGCTTGAACGACCAATATGGTAAACAGAAAAATTAACTTATTACATTCTCTAAGTAGTTTCCAGTAAGAAGCAGGGTAACAACGTTACTAACCGGTCCCCGTTAGTCGGTTGAGCCACGGATGGCATTTCAAGGTTTTCTAAGTTTCTGCGAAATTTCGCAGCTGTCCCTCATAAATTGTTGAAACTACAAAACTTCATAAACTCTAATGAGCGTTACACTCGCGACAAACAATTATTGATGTTTTGTCGCATCGTTGGTGACAATCGGGCCGGCGATATCTTAAGTATTTTTCAGACATGGCAATTCCGGGCGGCCGAGCCCCGGGGCCGGGCCTGGAATCCAAACATGAAAAACACCCACTTCCGGGCCCCGGAAAAATATGCAAATTCGCGGGGCCGGGCCCGGTATCGGACCAGTTCGCCGAAAACCATCTCGCCGAAAAACCATCTTGCCGAAAACCATTTCGCCGAAAAACCATCTCGCCGAAAACCATCTCGCCGAAAACCACTTCGCCGAAAACCATTTCGCCGAAAACCATCTCGCCGAAACCCATCTCGCCGAAGACCATCTCGCCGAAGACCATCTCGCCGAAAACCATCTCGCCGAAACCCATCTCGCCGAAGACCATCTCGCCGAAGACCATCTCGCCGAAGACCATCTCGCCGAAAACCATCTCGCCGAAACCCACTCGCCGAAGACCATCTCGCCGAGACCCTCGCCGAAAACCATCTCCCGAAACCCATCTCGCCGAAGACCATCTCGCCGAAGACCATCTCGCCGAAAACCATCTCGCCGAAACCCATCTCGCCGAAGACCATCTCGCCGAAGACCATCTCGCCGAAACCCATCTCGCCGAAGACCATCTCGCCGAAGACCATCTCGCCGAAAACCATCTCGCCGAAACCCATCTCGCCGAAGACCATCTCGCCGAAGACCATCTCGCCGAAAACCATCTCGCCGAAACCCATCTCGCCGAAGACCATCTCGCCGAAGACCATCTCGCCGAAAACCATCTCGCCGAAACCCATCTCGCCGAAGACCATCTCGCCGAAGACCATCTCGCCGAAAACCATCTCGCCGAAACCCATCTCGCCGAAGACCATCTCGCCGAAGACCATCTCGCCGAAAACCATCTCGCCGAAAATCTAATTTTGTATGCAAATTTTTTTTCAGGCTTGTTCCATTTTGGTCTAATACTGGAAAAAACACTGATCATGACTGAGCCAATTGGTTTTCGGCCTCAAATGGGTGTCGGTGGACACGTCGGTCGGTGAAAGGGGTGTCGGGGCACAGAGACCCTGAAAAAAGCAACTTTCTTTACTTTTTTGTGACCTGGGGGATGACCGCAACTACGCGAAAAAATTTGCATGCAAAATTAGATTTTCGGCGAGTTGGTTTTCGGCGAAATGGTTTTCGGCGAGATGGTTTTCGGCAAGATGGTTTTCGGCGAAATGGTTTTCGGCAAGATGGTTTTCGGCGAAATGGTTTTCGGCGAGGTGGTTTTCGGCGAATGTTTTCGGCGGGGATTTTCGGCGAAATGGTTTTCGGCGAAGTGGTTTTCGGCGAGATGGTTTTTCGGCGAAATGGTTTTCGGCGATATGGTTTTTCGGCGAGATGGTTTTCGGCGAGATGGTCGGAATTCGCCGGGCCCGGTCCCGGCCGAATTTTTCCGGGGCCGGGATCGGCCGATTCGGCTCGGCCCCGGAAACTAAAATAGCTGATTTGCGTCTAAATTCGGATGTTAATATGCAAATTTGCAATGAAAATTTTATGTGCGGTGGTGCTGTTAGGACATCGGTATCGGTAAAATTCATTGAACTTGTTTAATAATTGGTCCCAACTATCAAAAAATACTAAAATACGGGTCTGAACCCGTTATGATCTGGTTGCAATGGACATGGAGATGTATGGCAACCTTTGAAAATATCATTTTTCCAATTTGCATGAATATTTTGACTGAAAGTGATTTACAGCCGGCATTTCTGATTAGCATGCGGCCTTGCGGCCCCGGGCCCGGCCCCATTTTGGCTTAACCCGGGGCCGGCGAGAAAAGCCGAGCCCCGGCCCCGCCGGAAGTGGGACCGAGCCCCGTCGGCCCGGCCGCATGCAAATTTTTGGGGCCGAAAAAGCCCGGAGACCGGGCCCGTTGCCATGACTGGTATTTTTCGATGTCTTTCCACGGTTTGCATAAAAGTATTAGGTTGGAACATAAGTTCGCGCAATCGAACATTGGAAATTTCTTTCTGAAAATTTAGTGGCCAAATTCCGATATTCTTTCATTGCATATATCTATTGGGTTCATGAGTATGTGGGACCAAAATTACAGGTTTTTAGCCCCGGTAGTTTTTAAGATTTTTGCGTTTCTCTCGAGTGAACTTCAAATTTTTGACCCGGACATCTTTCCGACCCGCCATAAAGTCACCATAGAAATTGATCATCAATATGAGAATAAGTTGTATCTACTGGCTGCATGCCGAATTAGCCTAAAAAGGAAGCCAATTTTGTCTTGTAAAGGCGGGCCGAAGCTATTTTTCATTTTCACTTAAATCTAGCTTTAAAAAATTCTAATAGGGAAGCAAAGCGATTCCGTCCCACACATCGGATACAGAAAGAATTTTATTGCATATCCGGTCATCCAAAAAACATTTTGGTTCTTGCCCGTTTTCCGGTCCTTAAATTACAAAGAAGGAAAACTATTGCGCGAACTTTAGTTCCAACCTAATATTATTATATCCGTTTGCAAATTCGGCAATTCTGCCCTGCTTGCGCTTTCAAGAAACGTCCGGCTCCCAACTTTGAAAGAATAGTACCTTAGCTCACTCAAAAGCTGTAAGCTTTTCAGGGAAAACCGTACAAAAAATTCTGTTTCCCATGGAATTTCGAGAGAAACCATTTGCCTAGATCCTACGCTGAGGCGCACGAAGGGAGACACCGCCGGTGTAGCGGCTGGAAAGCCCACACCTGAAGCTGAAAACCAGGACCCGTATGTTTTTCTGAATCAATATTGGGTGTTGGGAAGTTCGGTTTTAGTCTGTTTTACCGCGAACTCCATGATTGTGGATCAATACTAGGGGTTCTATAGGATTTCCGGGGAAATCAAATTTTCTCGGCCCAAGCCTAAATTTTTTTTCTAAATAGCGCATGCGTTTCTAAATGGTTTTTAACTATTCCTGAGCATAAAAACTACCCACATTTTAATTAAAAAATTTAATTTTAGGTCGAAAAATCCTATAGAACCTTTAGGATTAGCGGGGGAAAGACCCAAAATGACTAAATTTTCGACTTTTTCAAACATTTTTCTAACTTTTTTGAAAGGTTTTTCTACTAATATAACACACACACACACACACACACACACACACACACACACACACACACACACACACACACACACACACACACACACACACACACACACACACACACACACACACACACACACACACACACACACACACACACACACACACACACACACACACACACACACACACACACACACACACCACACACACACACACACACACACACACACCCACCACACCACACACACACACACACACACACACACACACACACACACACACACACACACACACACACACACACACACACACACACACACACACACACACACACACACACACACACACACACACACACACACACACACACACACACACACACACACACACACACACACACACACACACACACACACACACACACACACACACACACACACACACACACACACACACACACACACACACACACACACACACACACACACACACACACACACACACACACACACACACACACACACACACACACACACACACACCCCACCCACACCACCCCCACACACACACACACACACACACACACACACACACACACACACACACACACACACACACACACACACACACACACACACACACACACACACACACACACACACACACACACACACACACACACACACACACACACACACACACACACACACACACACACACACACACACACACACACACACACGCCCCCAAACGACTAAGTAATAGAAATATCGATTCTGCAGGGGATTCCCCGTTCGTATCGGAAAGTATGACGGAGAAATCGAAGGAACCGCAGCCAACCTCGGTCAGGAAAGAGGCCGACTCGTTCATCAAATAGGTCAGGCGTTTAAATATATTGGCCAAGTTCGATCGTGATCCGCATCAAAGAACGATATTTTGCAGCTGATCTCGAGAGGCATGGAGCGAAAATTTTTGATCAAGACCGCGAGCTCGATCAACATGCGCGAATAGCATCAATGCGGGCGTTTGATCCTTTATTAATTGATTGTGGGCCCGGAGGAGACGATATGGAGGCCAAAACACTGGTCAAGATCTTTGTCGAGGAGATTGTGGTGGGTTTTGCGTGTGGGTCACCCACGGATCGTATCCTATAGAATTCGCTGCTGGATTCATTCGAAGATGCCGGTTCGATTACATCGGATTTTCTGGGTCCTCCGGCAATGAAGGCTATCGTCATTTCTCCAGCTCATTTTACAGACTATCAAAAGGAGGTAGATCGACCATAGGGCACTCCTGTAAACTGAACACCTTGCAGCTGCTTCAAGAAGCCGTTTACGAAGGCGGGCTAGCCATATATCCCATGTCGCGAAAGCCGCTGTTATGCGAACCCGAACTCCGCGGTCTGATAGGTTCCTTTGCTGACCGACCCACAGCCGAGACACTGCTTATTGACGTTGGCATGCAAAACTTTCAATTGTCCCATCTGGATGAAATGGGTTATTACAAGGCACGGTGCGGTCAAGCGGGGCTTGGTGTCGAGGTATCGCAATTTTCCAGACCACGATTCCTTCGAACGACATTTTCAGCGTATGTTAATTGCATTAGAAAACGCGATGTTGGTTGCTGAATGGCCGCGGATTCAGGGCCACGCCCAACGGAGTTCAAAGGACAGAATGGCCGACCGTACGGAGGCAGCTCGCGTCTTTAAAGCGTTGACTGTACCGCCTTTGGCAAGGAAGGATGGAAAAGCAAATTTCAACATTAAATGGGAGGTGGGCGCATCTATAATCAACAAAAAGGAGGGTTACACGAGCCGAACAATGTTTAGGGTTTTTTACCAAAATGTTTAGAGCTGCACCAAACAGTGTCCCGTTACTCTCGACGTTTTAAAGGACGCTTGCGAGATGGTTCTCATGATGATGAAGGACTTCATACACAAGGTAGGTCCCTAATCTCTATATCTCTATTGATCATTGATCCTCGCAGTGAGATCGGTCAGTGAGATTCAATCAAAAATTTTGAAATAGCTAGTCTGAAGAAAGCTTTTCCCAGTTCGAAACCCTGGATCCGTCGTACACACCCCAACGGCCTATAAAAACCCCTGTTAGTTTCTTCGCGACAACGGAATCGATCCCGCGAAGAAGCCGTTTAATATTGAACTTATTGGCGGATACTCCGACTCAACAATTCTGCACGACATGTGTCGTGAGGCTTTGCCCGCATCACAAATTGTCGCCAGCGGAAGGATGACAAGGGCGAGTCTGCAGGAATTGGGCAATAATCCTCTTTTCAGGGATGCACGCCTTTTGGTCCCTTTGGCAATATCGAAAGCCAAATGACATCCTCTCTTGAAAACAGTATGGAACAGCCAACGCCGACTGGATCCGATCACGATGCGAAATCCGGGACGAGTCCTTTGCAAATGATCACATGATGTGACCGATATCTAAAATGTGGTACCTAAATCCTGGCTTTCTAGCTTCCATCCAGCATTAACACCTGATGCACTTGACTCTCGTGATCACTCGGTCGCCACGTACGCATTCCGGCCATGCTTCTATGCTTCTGCTACGCATTAACTTTGAATAAATTTTTGAGACCCGAAATTACTGATTGCCTTTTTGGTAGGCAAAGCCCACCCACTTTGCGCAACGTGAATGTCCCAAATTCGACTCTTTATTCACATCAGGTAAATCTCGCACTAATGAAATCGTATTTTTCGGGGTTTAATGTTGGGGGGGGTGAATAGGATAGGAGCATCGAATCACAGGTATCGGATAATCGTCGTGAGTAATGAATATTGGATGGATGGCGCTCAAAAGAGTTTGATGCCGCTCTTCCGGATCAGGTCCCAGTCGCACACCATCATATGGTCGAGACGACCGTCTTTGAACGCTTGGTACTGATCAGTCCAGAATTCGAGGGATGGCAACGACTGGAAAAATTCCCATTTGTAAAGTCAATACCAGATTCGATACCTTTGTGTGGCACTCGAGCATGGCCTTCTGGTCCCAGACCAACTGCTTGAGCAGCTGCTCCTCACTGGGCTGCGTGATGGCCTGCGCGTACTTGTAGTTCTGAAAATCACAGGGTGTAATTTGTAGCCCGGGCCTTAAGATACCTGCTTGACCTCGTTGATCTTGGACGTGCACAGGTCGACGCTCTCGGGGGTCATTTCGGGGAACCATTCGCGGGTGCGGCACAGCCCGGAGGAGACCACCTAGAAAAGCAAGTATTATGGTAAACTAGCAGGTTGTTTTGCCCAAAATTCATGCCACACAAAATGCCACCTTATTCCAGAGCTCCTTGACCTCGTGACCGAGGTACAGTTGGTTGTCGGGGGTATACGGCTCGAGGCCGAGGGACTTCTAAAGACAAAGATTTCTTGGAAAAATATCTTTATTTGCCTGCTGGCCCTGTAGCTTGTCCTGCCAGGCTTGCAATGACTTCCAACGGGGAGAGTGATGGACAATGTTGTTCCAGATCACCTGAAAAAAGTAGCGTTTCTCTGCGTTTTGGTGTTCATAGGAATTGCTAAAGACAGAGAGAGAGAGGAGAGAGAGAGAGAGAGCTAGAGAGCTAGAGAAAGAGAGAGAGAGAGAGAGAGAGAGAGAGAGGGAGAAAGTGCAAGTGAGATGTCGTATCGGGCGAGGGAGCCTGAGTTCTTAGGGCATCATCGCAGTCTCCTTACCTCAGCCATCGATCCGTTCACCCGCGCATCGTGGGTCACCTCCGGGATTTCAAGGCCCTAAAAAATTGAATGGTCCTAACATTCCGAAACGAACCTGTAGACCCCTAGTAAACTGGTAGGCCGACTCGGAGTAGCATTCCGAAAAATAGCCGCCCTCCAAGATGCCGAGCACGCGATCCGGGAATGCCGCGTCGAGGAGGCGCGCAATGTGACCATAGCTAGAAAGGTTCGGGATACGGTAAGTTGAGGGGGAGGACGTTTAGGAAAAGCTGGAAACCAATTTACCCATGCGCCTTGATCGCCTGGCCCAACGTCAGCATGATATCGTAGTAGCCAGCGTCGAAGCCGGCCGAGACGAGAACGAGGTCTGTGTCCCATTCCTAAGCGCTCGTTTTGAAGGCGCGATAGGGAGAGAGAGAGAGAGAGAGAGAGAGGGACAGTGAGAGACTGCGAAAACGGCTGTCCAACCTTGAGAACAGGCATGATGACATGGTTGAACGCGGCCAGATAGTCGCTCTCCGTGTTCATGTTGCAGTTGAGGGGGAAGAACATCGAGTTATCTAATCAAAAATGTGTAGAAAAATCTAAAGGATTGTTACCTTTGGTGTTGTAGTCAAAATCGCGGCTGTACGGCCAGAAGAGACCCCTGAAAAAAGTGGCCGGTGAAAAAACTGGATAGGTTCCGTTGCCTAAAGGGAGGGTGACAGTCCAGATTCCGACGATGCTGATGTCACCATCCCTTTAAAACTTAAACTTACCTATGATAGGAATGGAAAGAAACGAGCATGATCCTCGGATCATCCTTGACGGAGTAGTAGGTGCCGTTGGCCGGGTGGTAGTCGAAGTCGATGATCGAGACCTAGAGGTCGATTTATAGTCTAGAGAGTTCAAGCTCACTCGTTTGTAGCCGAGCTTCTCAACGGCGTACTTGGCCGTGATGGCGACATTGTTGTAGACGCAGTATCCCATCGGGCTCTTCCCGTACGCGTGATGACCCGGGGGACGGACGACAGCGAACCCATTGCCCACCCTGGAATCGATCGGAATTCGTTTTTAAGGGGACAGAGGATGTGGCACCCCTTCTAAAAAATTCTAACCGGTAAGACTCCAGCTAAACCCCCCCTCCCCGGCCGGCCCCCAATTTTTATCTCGGCTCCCTGTTCATCTACAGGTTGTAAAGTATGCCAATGTATACCATGTTCGTCTTGCCCTGGCAAGCATTTTGGTATACTTTACACACCTGTAGATGAACAGGGAGCCGAGATACCAAAGTTCAGCCTTCTAACCTCTTGTCATGATGCGCTTTCAGCATCTCAATGCAATTCCCAACGGCAATTCGGGCGGCCTGCTCCGATTTCGGGTTCATCCACAGGATCTCGTGCGACTTGCAAAAGTTCTCGCAGGCCTGCAAAAAATGTTGATTTTTGAGTCGACCTTTCGGTACCTCATCCGTGTCGAGGGCGTTCATCTCGCGGATGATCTCGATCGGGTGGTTGAGCAGCAGCTCGTCCTCCACGGCCTCGCGCGATTGGACCTAGAACATTGAATTTCGAACCCGTCTCGGATTTGTGACGCAGCAGTTTGTAAAAGGCGCTGCTGCTTCGCGTATGCCGAAGCAACGAAAGGAATGAACCTTTCAAGGCACATTAAAGACACAAATTGTTCTATTGCCATACCCAATAAATATTCCTGAGCAAACGCTCCTTCTCGAGCCGTTCATGGATGATCTTCATCCGTTCGGGTCTCTCGGCCATCGTCGGATCATAGTTGCAGACGTGCTCCAGCATCCGCTCATCGTACGCGTAGCCGAACGGGAGTCGCATCGCTCCACTAGAATTTGGTAGACGTCAGAAAGTCTTAGAAAAGTACGAAAAAGGATTGATATGGTACACTTTTGAGGCAGACACAATATGACATTCCATACTTTGAGAGTCATAAAAAACTGAATGGAAAGACGTGATAAAACCCTATTTGGAAACTAAACTTTAAAAGAATAATAGCTGCCTCTGCCAGAATCGCTCGAAAATTTCCTACAAGGTCAAACCCGTCAAAAATTGCGCATTTTACCACAGACCAAGCAAACACCGTGCCTTTTATTAGCTTTAGAAATTTATAGGGCAATGGGAATGCAATGTTTGCTTGGGTTACAGGTAGGTCGGGGAAAGTTTTGACGTTCCCCCACAACTCGAACACCTAGAAAATATGATCAAAACCTGGAAATTTCTGGGATGCCAAAATAAGCATTGCCCGTTACACGAGCCAGTGCCAAAACGTTATCAGGTTGAACGCTGATCCCCTCAACACACTCACAAACCGAAGAAAGAAATGTGGGCCAGTTGATAGGAACCTAAGCTGTTTGTGCCCCTGGCAAGTTGTTCGGGATTTTTGAACTCTGCATTCTAAGGTTTTCGATACTTGCAACCCATCCGTAACTCTGTAGCATACAGAACAAGTGTGATACCAGGTTTGGGACCTTGGGGCTCTGCCCGAAATTCAAAATTTGCATACCCATACCTGGAATTGTGGCGGACGATGAGGCCATGTCGAAGCCGGGTGAACAACCGGACGCGGTGCATCCTCGAGTAGAAATGATGAATTATGCAGGTATCGTGGTTAGTTGCGCAGTAAATGCAAATTTTTGTATCCTTACAGCCAAGATGCAAATTTTTTTACGATTTCCGGAAGTAAGACAAGCTTCCGGTTTAGACAAACCTGTTTGTTTTTGGGTGAGCAAGGGAGGATATCGTGTAAGATATAGATTTACTAACTGTACTGAATTTCCACTTAGCCCGGAAGTAAAATCCCAAAACACCTGCCATATGTGGCTCGTCTGAACTTTTTTGTTACATTTCTCAGCGTTTGGTTTCTGATTTTTGAATTGTTGGTACGGTTTTTACGTTTATACCACCTTTTGCCAGTTTTTCAATCGTAATTCAGATACCTTTTAATGCATTTTACATAATTCTTTGAACGGCACGCTTCATTTTTCAATTTTTCTCCAAATTTCCTTTTCTTCGCAACAACAATCCCTGAAATTCAATTTCCAATGTTTCAGCCTTGCCTCCTCCGGAATTTTGCGGCGGAATTGGGGCGATGTTTATCTTCCCCTCCCCAGTTAGCTGCGCCGACTCCAAAGTACAAAAAATTACTCCCCGGTGGCGGGCCTGCGAGAACTGTTTACAACATGCAATGTGGCAGGCAGTCTGAACTGAAAATAGCCTGAGTTGACACATTTTATGCGTATTCTATGGATGAACCCGGGCCATCAACGGCTAAAAAGGCCAATATTTCCGTGCTGTACGCCCGGCTTTTCCAGGTAAAGTTTCATGGGTATCAAAATGACAGGGATAATTTTTAGGATGCAAATTCGGTAGATTGGACCACTTTTTTCACCGTCCAAAGCAGCCCGGAGCATCTCACGACGCTGATTGAAAATTTGCATCGAAAGGTATCGAGACCTTCATTTTCTACTCATAATACCAAGAAAAATCAAAATAAAATATTCTAAAATTTGTTTTTTAGGAAATTACCCCCTTAAAAGATGCCCTCCACGAATTACTCGACCGTTCACTTACCGTATTTTTGCAGGTAAAGCGAATCAATCGACCAAAACTAAATATTTTTCAGCATTCCGACATCCAAGCCTTCAATGCCCTTACGACAGTATCAACTGTAATAAACCTGATTGGACAGAAAATGGGGCTAAATGATGAAGGAATAGAATTTTTATTTTCTGCAGAAGCCAGAAAACGAATACCGGTATTTTGTATTGATCTCTCTATTCCATCTTTCTAGGATTTCGCCAAACGAATTGCCTATATTTTGGGGCATTCGCGTTCAGATGAGATGAAATTGCTTTGTTGGAACGCGTTGTTAAAGGTATTT